GGTCCGAACTCTGCTGTTCTGCTGAGCGCAGATAAGGCAGAAGCGAGATAATCGCTTGGCCGCTACATCTTCGGCATTGGTCATATCAATGATTTAACCAATAGCGAATGTGATGAATCGACTGGGCGAATAAGTTTGTCGCTTGCACTTGAGCGCATAAACTTGGTCCCTCCCGGTGTGGGCCTCAGAAATTTGGAATTCGGAAGATTTTGCTCACGGTGGTGTTTTGGTGGAGTTATGGGAGCATTACTTGAGTGTGGAGTTACGGCAAGTGTATGGTGTGAGGGTGTCCGCAGATTTACTCGTAAAATTGTGCAGGATGAGCTGGTGCTCAAAGATGGACAACTGCAAGATAAGCCCTCCAGCAAGGTGAAGGATGAACGAAGCATTGAGAATTTCATTACTATCATTCCGAGAATGGGGGACTTGAGCTCGCTTTGCACATATTATTTAAACAAGCTCAAACTTGTTCTTTCTTGGTCAGATTAGTAACTCACCGAATAACAAGTATGAACTTGTCAATGAGAGTGTGCAAAGCTTCAGAGTTCCCAGGTCTTAGAATGGCATCTGTCACAGTTTCACCAGTATTTATTTGACAAATGTGCAAACTGGCGCAAATTTAGAAATGGTGGTGCAATCGCAGACCACTTCTTAAGTTCACGGCTAAATCAGCGACTTGCAAGTCGCCGATCTCATTTGATTTGCTTCGTGCTTGCGAGCTCTTTTTTAACCTGTACATCTTAAATATATGAAATTATTATTGCCCAAATTCAGGTAAATCTGTCTCAAGCGATCTCAAGATGTCAATCCTACAGAAAATCCAGGACATCGAAGATGAGGTAAGTCGAAAATTCTTTCTATTTTGACTTTGCTAAATTGGTTTATGTGGAGAAAATATGCTTAAGCTGTTATGCTATATCTTTCGAATTCAAGAGGTGCTCTTGACTCATTTGCATTGGTTTTTACGGAGATCATCGCAGAGTTCAAAACCACGAGAGCCGAAAACCGTTCATTTTTAATTGCAACGTTTATGTGATTCAGATGGCACGTACCCAAAAGAACAAGGCCACCAATGCTCACTTGGGTATGTTGAAAGCAAAACTGGCCAAATTGCGCCAGGAGTTGATCACACCAAAGGGCGGCGGTGGGAGTACCGGTGAAGGATTCGATGTTGCCAAGACAGGAGATGCTCGCGTCGGTTTCGTAGGTATGTTAGTGTAACTTTTCGCTTCCAAATGCTTTTGCTTGCTGTATCTATTTTCTTTTACTGTTCTTCTTCTTCTCTGTCGTTTATAGTGCAGAGCACTAAATTAACATTTTTGCTAATATGTGCTCGAAAAAGTAAACAGTCATTGTTTGGTAGTAACAGCCGTCAACTAACAATGATCAGTATGCTCCTCGCAATTTCCGTAGAGGATGTCAAAAGCGTATTCCGCAACATCTAGATAGGCTTTACTTCTGAAAGAAACGCTAAAAATCCAGAGATGCGATCCGTTTTGCCAGCTCTTTAGCGCGCTTTTAAGCTTCTCATTAGGATTCCCCTTTATCCATGGAGCTTTGAAGCTTCCAGCTTGTTTTAATAATGAGTCGTACTCACAATCATTCTCACGTTTTTTTCTCTTTAGTCAGTACCTTGTTGGCTTTGAACTGAAAGAGTCTGCGCAAAGTTGA